AATGGATCATCTATGTTACTACGTCAGAACTTGCCTCTAATGATCTAGAGCACCCCTCTGCCCTTTTACCTGTCTGCCCTGACAACGGCACCACCAGTACCTTAGGAGTGCACCAGTTATCTGCTTACTACATGAAATGATTTCCAGACAAACTCCCAGTGGGTCAAATCAAAATATAAGGAGTACACTTTCGGGCTCCAACCTTCAAAACAGTGTCTTTATCGCAGATACCATTAGCTCTTTCCTCGACATTCTCACTATGGACCACCCACCCATACCAGAAACTAAGGGTACGCTCCTCGAAGAAAATGGAAAACCTTCGAGTTTTCTGCACCTCATGGCTCCCCGCACCCTGAAGTGTCAGGGGACAGCTAACTTGCCCATCACCACTTCCTTCTCTCCTCAGCCCACCAAGGCTCCACTCTTCCTCAGAAGCCTAGCAAATGCCCAACCAGCCAAGACAGCGACCCTGAGTACGTCAGGGGATTCACCACACATGTACTCCAGGTGACATTAAGGTCAGCTCTATTCATGGATTTACCACCGAAGTCTCGAGCTCAAGAGTAATTGTGGGAACCCACAAAATGCACGAACACATATTAAGATGCGTTCAAGACAAACCCAAGGAAACTATTTTATACAACTTCAAATATAATATATTTTCTATATTTTATTTACCTTTTTAAGCTATTATACACTTCTTACAAGTATCTATTTTTACACCTTCTTAATCATTGATATGCTTTACCATAATTGACTTAAATATTCCCCAACTGTTATAAAAGCTATCTATTTTCCCCTATTATAGGTAATGTTTCAGTAAACATCTTTATTCATAAAGAATTTCTTCTTTTAAATTATTTACTAGTTATAAAATACGTAAGTCCTGGGGATGCGGTGTACAGCATAATCACTACAGTTAACAACACTGTGCTGTATATTGGAGAGTTGCTAAGAGAGGCCATCCTAAAAGTTCTCACCATAAAAAAATGATAATGGTAATGGATGTGTTAACCACTTGTATTGAGGTAATCATTTTACAATATATACTCATATTAAATTATTATGTTGTATACTTTAAACTTATGCAATATTATATGTCAATTATCTCTCATTAAAATATTTCATTAGGATAATTTCAGCAGTATATATTTCCCAATTAAAAATAAGTATTTCAAAATTTTTTGGTGGGAATTTTTAAATTGTAGTTCAAAGGGCCATACCAACTTATAAGACACCATCATAATCTTTGATGGTCTTTCTACCTCAAGTTCATCCTTACAAATATTCCTCTCATACACTGCAGTTCAAAGTATAGCCTGACACCATTTCTTTAAAGGGCAACTTGCGGTGTTTTGAAAAGTTAAAATGTATACTACCCTTTGACCTTGGAATGCCACTTCAAGGAACTGCTTCTTTGAAATACTGGCATATCTCCCCAAGGAAAAATTGACAAGGTTGTTCACTTTAGTATTCTCTATGGTAGCAAAGAAACAGAAATCACATGATTATTCATCAAAGGGAAACTAAATGATGACACATCGATATAATATTCAGTTGACCCTGAACCACGCAGGAACTAGGAGTGCCAACCCTCCCACTGCACAGCCAACACCTCCGTGGAACGCCAGCACCCCCAAAACTCCACTACTGATAACCTGCTCTTGGTTAGAAGCTTTGTCAACAACATAAACAGTCGATTAACACACATTTTGTATGTTGTGTGTACTATAAACAGTATTTTTACAATAAAGGAGGCTAGAGAAAAGAAAATGTTATTAAGAAAATCATAAAAAATACATTTATAATGTTTTTTTAAAAAAATCTGTATAAATGGTCCTGGACAATTCAAACCCACAGTGTTCACAGGTCAATGGCATATTTATTTCTGTTTTAAAGAAGCTACATGCATGTGTATGCACCTATGTGTATTCTCAATGTGTAGGGAAAGGTCAGGAGGCTATGCTTGTGGTGGTAACTTACACAGGGAAATCATATTGAAAGAAAGGGGATGGCAGGGTGGTAATAAGGAAAAATTACATGATTTATATGTATTTGCATTGTTTATGCAGTGAGCATATATTTACCTAATACTTTTATAACTAAAATAACTTTTGAAGTAAAAAAAGTTCTTGAAATGAGACAAACTTCCTAATATATGAGTGAAAAGAAACCTATTATTTCACATACTTCTGTCTCTCTCTCTCTCTCTCTCTCTTATTTCATTATAAATCTAAACCAAACAATGCTAGCAGCACATTCCACTCCTGATTTTAACAGTGGCCACTCCTTGGTAAATGAGTGGACCAGAATAAAAACCCAGAAGGGAATTAGTGCTGAGATAGGAAAATAACAGTGGGAAAGGTAAAAAAGTTAAGAACTAAGAGCCACATATTTTCAAATAAGCTGCTTTCCAAATGACAAAGCATAATGAAAACCTACTTTCATGCATGTTGCCTTTCACATTGCCTTTAACTTTTACAGCAGAACCAATGATTTGCTGCAGAAGGAAAATGCTGCACATTTGCTTAAGCCTGCGGGTCTCAGCGAATACAGCACGTCTTCCAATAACCACACTCCTTTATGATGTTGATGAGATGCCCCAGGAACTTAACTCACGCTTGTGCCAGGGTAAAATTGGTTTCACTATACCTCTTTTCACCAAAGTTCCAAGAACCCACTAATGACATTAAATGGCGGCCTACTGGCCTACTCTGCAGGTCACCTGGATCAGCATCACCCATAGGACTTATTAAACATCAAAAGCCAAGATCTTTTGGTCCATCTAACTCCAGATGTGACGTTGGAGGGTGAAAATTCTGCAGCTTCACCAAGCAGCCCAGGTGACTCAGGAATCCCAAAGTTAAAGATATATTGCCGTGCACCTGTTTGCTGGGCAAAATAAAGTATTTTGCCATGTGTACTGTGCACCTGTTGCCCAAAATTTTTAGGGAAAAATAAGTAAGTGCATTATACATGGGTAGTACTAACTCTATCTATATAAATGTTTTCAATTCTTTTATGACCAAAAACATGGGTGAGCATTATACATGTCAAAATATGGTACTGTCTTAATTAAGCATTGAGAAACACTGAACATCATAGTAGGAAACAGAAACATTCCATAAATTTAAAAAAAATCTCACTTGGCTTTCTGAAAAACAGTAAGGTCATAAATCACTTTCTAAAGATTAAACATTCTAGCCTAAACAAAACCGAATCTGATCTAGAGTGTATATACCACACAAGCCAGGACTGCTTCTATCTTGATCACAACTCTAGACCCAACACCCAGTGTCTGGCACAGAGTAGGCACTTCCTAAAGATTTGTTAAATTCATATGGTTTGGACCAGGTTACTCCTGACATGTAGAAATTAATTGGGATAAACTGGGAGTGGCCAGTGGGAGGGAGGAATATGAGACGGGGAATGAGACCAGATGGATCCCACACAGGGCTCTGCCACTGGGAAGGAAGTGATCTCATTTCTGCCGCTGAACCTCCCCAACTCTCCCGTCCCTTTCTGTAAAGTACGGAGCAGACCGTGTGAAATTAACCACAAGGAATCACTTCAGTTCAGTCTGAAATACAAAACTGAGATTCTAGAGTTGTCTAAATATTCCTTTGACAAATGTCCTTGGGCGCTATCATTTCAAAGTTAATATCGTAAAGACAAAGAAACATTTTGGAATGTGGATTATTACCTTCACCACTTTTCATTCTGTGATTAACTATGAGGACAATCCATTTGAAGGCAAAATAAGAAAGATAATGAGTAAAAAAGTAAAATGTCAGTCTGCAAGTTGTGTTAGTTATCATTCCAAAGTTCAAATCCATTACTTAGACAAATTATTTCCATCTAAGTATTCTAGAATGGCACCTAATATAATTATTATTGAATGTGAGGCATAGTTAGCATAGAAAAAAACACATGCAAGCTCTCTTTTTTAGAAGAATTTTACAATAGTTTATGGAAAACTCATAACCACAGGATGGTCAATCACTTAACCACATGTTTTAAAGACTTTCTGAGCACAGAGACAATAAATACAAAATGTGCCAAATTTAGAAAACAGATCTACTTACTAATAAACATGACCTTCATTTACAGAGCTGCAAATCAGTCTTAACTGCAGCCGAGGGCCATGGAGTGCAGGAGCGAATACTAATCTGCATGGCCGCCTCCACAACTCTGGTATATCAGAGCAGGTCAGCAGATGTCTTAACTGATGAAAACTCCCTAGGCTGTAATGGGAAAGACAATGAAGGGTGCCCTTAAGATTCCAGGAGAAACACTCATGAATCCAGAAGGAAGTCAAAAGTTACCCCAACCTCTGAAGGAGAAGGGGTGGCTTGGGAAGGCAAAAAGTCACCCTGAAACAGGGGGAAGTCAAGACACAGGTACCTTGGCTTGCGTCACTATTGACCAACCTAAGGGCGAAGTATGTTTAAGTACAGGGTTCCCCACAGTTACCCTCTTGCCCAGTCCCAAGAAGACTTGCTCTGAGCCCTCAATGGAGACAGCCACTGACAGAGCAAGGTTGTCTTTCCGAAACCTTGAAAGACCTACATGAAGGAGGGTTAAACAACATGCCCCCACCTTCAGGAACCCGCTGCAGTAGGCAGCACCAGTATATACAGGGCAGTAAAGGAAGTATGCTTACAGCAGGCTGCAAACAACCATGAGCAAAGAAAGCAGAAAATAAAACCCTGGCACTACCTCGAGGCTCTTTGAGGGACAAAGCGGATGTGGCAACAGACAGCAGCAGTGGGTGTTGGTCGGAATATACAGGTAATAGCCACAGTGGCAAAGGAGGGAATCGGTGGAACAGCCTCCATGGAGGATCATGAGCCAGCTCAGTCAGCATCCTCGGGAACTAGACCCAGGAGCAATAGTAAGTAGAGTGTCAAAACGCACTACAAATGTCACTCATGCCCCCAACCATGCTTAAGGCCCACGTAGTCAGCAAAACAAGATTTGCAATAAAAGTGTCCACTCACCATCTTCCGGAGCCATGGTACTTTGGACAATTTCATGAAGGTCAAATGAGGCTTAAAACTTCTGCTTTCTCCTGCCAAGATGCCTTTTTCTCGAAATGTCTGTTTTGCAGCTTCTAAAGTAAATAAGAAACACAAAAATGTAACTGTAACATATGGCTGTCTTTATAAAAATAGCAATTCAAAAAGTAACAAAGTATCTTATAATGAAGACTACTTCATGTACATTCTTTGAGACATATTTTCTCAAAAAAAGAGCAAAACGCCATGTGCATAGTCAATATATTTACCACAGCTAAATCTGTAATGATTTCAAACTTTGGGTAAAATGCACAAAAGCAACAATTTCAAAGAGAAACATTTAATAAAATGACTATTTGGCTGAGAAGATGCTGACTTCCACTGATTATACCAGTGGTGTCCATGTGTATAAAAAAGGACTACCTGGTCTGTAACCTTCACATCTAAAACCTTTGCTTCTGACCAAGATGGAATAATAGGAATCAGATTTGCCATTCCATCTGAAACAACCAATAAGAGGACAAAGTATATGACACAGTGGTTTGCAGGACACTGTAGACACAGAGCACCGAAGGTCAGTGCTCTCCCTGAGTGTCTAGGCCCCTGCTCAAGAAGAAGAAACCCAGATGGAGCCCAGTCATCTCCCTGGGCTCAGGAAAGAGCCGAGAGTAGGAAAGACCAAGGCATCTGGAGCTCACAGGACAGAGTAATGAAGTGAGACCTGCACTGAGCAAAACTCCAGAAATACATACAGGGTCCCCTTGAGTGTTCACCTCAGCATAGACCTGCACATACATATGAGCAAACTACATCCTACAAAAACCCTTGGCTGCAAGTCAATGACACCAAATGATCTTTCTTCTCTCTTCTGTGGTAATGTGTAGAAGGCTAAGCAATTGATCGTTAAAATGCCAAGAAAACACTGGCTCTTTGTTGCAGACAGCTGAAGACAACTTTGGCTCTGTAGGAAAGGAACCTAGAGAAGAACATGGGAGGACTAGAGCACTAGGCTGGAAGGGTGTGAAGCCAAGATGCCCAAAGTTACAGAGAACAGATCCAGTGACACCAGGAGGTCTTCCAGCTAGCACCACTGGCATTGTGCACAGCAAAGGGCTAGAACTGCTGCCATCAGCCTTGGACTGATAGCTTGGTAGCTACCACCGATGACACAAACCATCCCAAGAATGGATTCAGTACAGTTCCTTTTTGTTCCAGTTACTAGTTTCCAATTTCGAAGCCTGGGCCAAAGCAAGAGCATGCTCCTACCACCAAAGGAATCTGTGATAGAATGTGCCTGACATGGGAGATGATGAGGAAGAGTTTAGATACTGGGCAGCCAAAAACAAGGCAACAGACCAACATGCATGTCTTTCAAAACAATAAAGAGTGTACACAAGTAATGTTATGTAATTAATTTATCAACGTTTAGCTCATATAAGTTACAAACAGGTATACCTTTTCTCAACTACCTTGTCATAACCCACCTTTGACCCTCTCTATTTTGGCATATTCCCAACTGCTTTTAATAGACCCGGATTTAAAATACTAGGCTGAATCATACAAAACTTTCATTTTTATGAGCCAAAAACAGTCAAACATTGGCAATGTCTGATGGCTTAACAAATGCCAGAATAAACTAACTTACTAAATTTAAGTTTCTAATATTTGAGTGAAGGAATTAGAGCATATTCTCTAAGTTTTCAAGTAGTTGAGGAACTATCATAGAGACAAGCTTATGATAGAAATTTACCAATATGTTCAGACCAACCCAGAAAACAGAAATAGCACGAGGGTGCAAAAGCAAAAATTCCCGTGTTCTGTTATGTGCTGAGCACTTCCCCACATGTCAGGCACATTATCTGCCAAAGACAGCACACAGGTCCCTGCTTTTATGGAGCTTGCAGTCTCATGGGACAGATTTCAGCCCAACAAAGAGAAGGACTTAACAATGTTCGGAATTATCAAAACATACAAGAGATACAATGAAAGGAGTTTTGTTAACAAAAACTAAAATAGTAGGCATCTGTATTATTCATTACTATCTACATTCATTTTTACATATTATTTGATTCTAAAAACAACAGCATTTTTCAATTTACTGGTCAAATTTTGAACCAAGAGTTCTCATTATTCATAGAAATCATTGAAGATGGAAATCTAGTCACAAAACTGATTTATATATTTGTCACAAAGTACATTTAATTTTCATTAATGTGTTTTTCCAAGACAGTATATTCTCTAGGTACTTAGATATAGGAAAAAAGAAAATGCCACCTTCTTTTTGAAAAGTACTTCTTAGTATTGATTTTATATTTCTAATAACAGTATAATCTATTGCTCAGCCAGAGTACTGGATAATAGTTATAGCTATATCATTCTTGAGATAAGAAGAGTTTTTGCTAGTGCAAAAACCACATGTCACTCTTCCACTATGTTAATTTATATTCTGGAAAAGAAGCTTATGAATAATTTAAGAGATTGTTCAATTCCTTCTAGCACCGCAGATATTCCTGCAAGCACTAAATAGAAAACCACACAGCAAATTCATCAGATATCCTTTATCAGTCACTGAAGAATGCTTCCTAAATAATCTAATTTACCTGATAGCTAAAGATGAAAATTTTGTGAAGAACAATTTTTTTAAATACATTATAACTGTAGCAGACTTTGCTATATAAATGAATACTGGAATAATTAATTTAATAAAGAAACAATACTTTTGTTGTCCGAACAAACACAGTTTTATCTGGGGGCTCCTTGTTGGGATGGGGGTGATTTCCCTCTACTCAGCAAATATCCATTGAGCAGTCTAGGTACTGGGAAGTTTTATCTGTTATTTAAGTTTTTTATATATTTTTTTGTAGAAAAAAATTTCTCCAGGTAAACTCTTTTAAAATATGTAGCAACAATAAATTTATACCTAAAATGTAAAGAAATTGCTGAAATTTGTCTCAAAGTAAACTGTAACATATCAATTTCAATAAATTTGTGTGTTTTTAATTATATACACTTTCTTGCAAGGCAAATACTTCTCTTTTTCTTCCTTTTTGCCACTACCTCCCATGTTGGGAACCGTTCTGCCTGGTTTCAGAAGCTGTAACCCCACATGGCTAAGGCTGAGTGAGAGACCTTGGGACCATAAGCCACTAAGGAGACGAAGCTTATCTCCCTGGCAGGGGCACCACCTCTGCCCTCTTTTCGTCACCCTGCTTGGCCCTAAGCCTGACCTGTTAGCCAATAATGGGTAAGATTCCTCAAGGGAAGACAACCTAAGACAGGCATGATCACAGGGAGGCCCCAGGGAAGGACTTGGGGGGCTATAGAAAAAGGGGGTGATGGGCCCTTGCTTGCCCCTTGGCTTTGATATAACCTGAGTACTCATTCTGTCTGCAAGAAGTCTCCTAAACTCTTGGCTGCCTTACTTCCCCTGCCTCACTTAAGCCTGAAACCATGAAAGAGGGTGGTACAGCCCTGTGCTGGAAAGGGTGGTTTCCCCCAGCAATCAGGTCTAAGAAAGAATACATAAAATCCTGTGAAGCCTGCTTTGCTAAGAATGCCCTCAATTTTCTGATAAGGGTCCGAGGAGGAAATGAGTTTGTTTCCCAAAGTTTTATAGCCCTTTAGCTAACTGACCCTGACTCAGAATAGGCCCTCATTGTTCTTTGTATGTTATCTATTGTTTGATCCTTACTGCCTGACAATGATTGATGAGCTTTACCTGTATTCCTATGCAAATTGAACCTAATAAAAGCCCACCAAGGAAAAGGCCCCTGGCACTTCTTCTTTGAGAGATCAACCACCTTTCCTCCCCAAGTAGATGTCTTGGCAGACTTATTCTCATCTGCAGTGGATGGGGGACCCTGTGGGCAAAGCTCTCCCACACTCCCCTTTTCTAAAGTAGTTTACGTAATAGCATGATCCATCATTTGAGAATATTTACAAAGAGAATTGGTGTTCTACTGAGATACACAAAGAGGTTTGTTTATAAGAATAGTCTAGGATACTAATGTAAATTAGGTGGTTCTAATATATTCTTAACCATATATGTTGTATTTCAGTAAGAGGATACAACATAAGTAGTAAGTTAGATTTTAGTTTTAAAAGACTGACTTGTGATTAAACAATACACCATAAAATAAAAAGTGGTAAGTTCTTTCCATGCTTTCCAATTAGTAGACACTTTCTAATACTATTGTAAGATATAGTAAAAGTATGTCACATGTAATATTAATAATCTCAATAAAATTTTAGAATCACTTTTTAGTCATCTAAAACTTTAAAGAAATAAAAACCATTCAACTGCTTTTGTCATTTTCATTTTATTACCATTTAAAGGATTCTTATTTCCATATGCTGCTTAAACTATTTCACTTTAAGTGGTTTTAGTAAGTCATTTGAATTCTATGTTCAAACATAAAGGCTGGCATAACATTAAAATCAACGTCAATTTAAAATTTTTATAGTCATCATTTAAAATAGATATTTCCAATCAACTGCTGTGTAAAACTATCAAATAGCACTTTAAAACATTAAAATGAAGTCTTTAAAATTAATCCTTGATACCAGAGGAATCACATTAAATCCATTGTTATTGACAAAAAAAAAAAAAGACCTAAATTGAGCATCCTAGTAACATTGGCCCTTCTCCTATTATTCATATTGTGTTCTTGGGTAGGTCACTTAACTTGACAGTAGAAGTGAAAAGGTCCCTTCTCTCAGGTCCCTTCTTATCCTAACAACCATCAAGTTGAAGTAACCTGTCAGAGAGCTCCAGGACATTTGCAGATGCTAGACACCAGGACTGGATTTTATTCTCATGCAAATATTTAGACATGAATGTCAGTGAGGAAAGAGAGACTATCTCTGATTAAATGTTCTTTTTATTCAACTTTTATGTTTATATCTAAATTTTTATTGGTTTATACTATTTAAAAATACATATTTATTGAACCTCTATTCTGTACCACACTCTAGGGACACAAAAATAAAAGATTCCCTCAAAGAGCCTTCACTCTAGTTTAGAAAGATAAGATTTCAAAATAACCGAATGCCACGTGGTATTCCAGTTTCCACAGCTCTCTGTCTATAGGGAAGG